ATTCCATTAGATTGTTGGAAAAAAAGTTAAGTGTAAACTATGAATGTATGTAAACCCCACTTATGATTGATTAAAAGCAGTCTTGGGGGCTTTTGATTACATTGAGTAATGTATTACATATCAATTACTAATCATATAGATTTAAACACTGAGTATTAATTCTCGAAAAGCCTATTCCTAGGCGAAAAGGGGAAAATGATATTCTTTTTATTAAAACTTTACATAAAGAAGTAATTTTTTCCATTTTTTATCGTTCTAATGAAATTTTTTGAATTTTAACTATAAGAGGTACTTTTTCTTTCATCAAATGGTACTTTTTGTATTTTCTTTAATTTAGAACCTAGAAACATACATTTTAACATGACTTAATGAGAATCTATTAGAGATCACTCTTTTGTACTTTTTCCTTTTTCAAATGGTATGTTCTATAATATGAAGCCAAAACACAAGATTACTGAACACTGATTCTTAAATATAGAACTTTTTGGTACTTTTTCGTTCCTCAAATCTATATATATAAAAATGAATGTGTGTTTCTATGTTTGTTTGTTTGGTCTTTATAGTCAGCCAAACGGCTGGACCGATTCGTCTGATTCGACCGATGTCTTCCTGTATGTCTGGAAGGAACTATTAGCTACTTTTTACTTCAAAATTCCAAGTGAGCGACGTCCCACGATCACGTACAAAATAAAGTCGCCTATGTCAGAAACTGCAAAAGCTAGAGTCCTAAAATTGGGTATGGACAACTTTGACATGCATATAAATACATGGGAATCAAATGGGCAACCTAACTAGAGTGGGCGTGGCACCACCCATATAAAAAACCTCTTAAATTGATATATCTGAGGAAATATAACAGCTAGAGTCCTAATTTTTTATCGGAAGCACTTTATGAATGTTTAAGACTGAAAATGGAAAGGGGCGTGGCACCTCCCATATTAATTAAATATTAAAATTCGTTTATCTGGTAAACTATTGGACATAAAATCTTAAAATTTTGCACAAAGACCTTTAATATCCGTCTGAAAATTTGGGATACAAATGGGCGGACTTTCATAAGCGGTACTTCCCATACGGATTGAGTATACAAATTTGTATATCTTGTGATAATATAATAATAATAATTCGTTTATTTTTAATATCTATTTGATTGGCATTTGGGAGAAAAATGGGCGGACTCTTATTAGGGAAGCTTGACACCTCCCCATATGAATGAAGTAAACAAATTCATGTATTTGGGTAATTATTATAGCTAAAATCCTAAATTTCGCACGAAGAACTTTGACATCCATGTAAACATTTGCGTAATAAATGGGCAGACTTTTAATATGGGCATGGCACCTCCCATATGAATTCAATACAAAAATTCCTATATATGGAAAACTGTAAGAGCTAGAATATTCAAAAATCGTAGTGAGTTTTTAATTTTTATTTGTTGGCTTTAGGGTAGAAAAGCACACTGGTTATAGCTAGTGTTAGTATAATCTTGAACTTAGTTTGTTTGAAAGGAAGATGTATGTATATACATTAAATCTGAAGAAATACACCTAGGCCTCTAACCGGTCAGTTGTGCGCTCCCAAACCAGTGCCTCAGGTGGGAATCGAACCCATCACCACCGGTATACCCGACTAGAACACTAATCTTGAACTTACAAACATATATTTTAAATAAGAAGCTGTATGAGAAGACTCTTTGGCACTTTTTGATTAAAGGTCCTTATTAAATGAGAATTTATAAAAGGGAGATTTTGGGTACTTTTTCGTTTTTCAAAAAATTAAAGAGCATCTACTAAAAGAAATCTTTTCGTTCTTCAATTGATACTTTTAGAGTTTTCTATAATATAAAACATAGAAATATGAAATTTTTAATTGAATGATAATCTTTATGGTACTATTCTAATACACTAGGGCTTAACCTAATCTATTAATATGTATTTTTTCCACAAATAGTTTTCGAATTCTTTAACTAATTGCCAGAAGAATACATTTCTAGTTTCGATGCCATTTGTAGCCAATTAATTATTAATCAATATAGAAAATAAATGGATAAATATTTGTTTGCAATTAGTTTCAATTTATTCATAAACTATAAAAGTTAATTAATTTGAATACAATAACAACGCTCAATACGGTCATTCTTAGTTTAGCTCTAGATACGAGTGTTGGTTACTAGACTTTCAGTCCATTATTATTAGTTTTCACTGTATAAATACACTGTGTGAAAAAAAAAACAACAATTATTAAAAAATTCCCATAAACACCTGTATGATCAGCAATATTGTATTATAATTTTACGTTTTTATACCCTTTATCATGATAATGCATTTATAAGTTGATCATACCGTTTGATCATTTATAAAATGAAATAAGCTTTTAGAAGTCTTCAACAAATCCATATTTTTGTTTACTTTTGGAGCGGTTATCTTTATTTCAAATTTTGTTTTGGAAATATTAATTGATCCTGTTTTAAGAAAAGTCTAGATTCTGAAAATTCTTTGAAATAGTTGTTGAGTAAAAATTGTTTTGGTTTTCAAACCAAATTTACAAACTAGTTTTCAAAAAAAAACTGGAATTTTCATATTAAAATGAAGAAGGGTGTATAAAAAATTCGTTACAAACTTGTTTTTAATTCGTTTACTTGTTGTAGTTGCTGTTGTTGTTATTAATATTACTGCTGATTTGTTAAATTTCCACACCCTCAGTTCTTCTACTGAATGAATCTTGTTCTCAACAAGTGAAAAAAAGATACAAAATTTTAGACCAGATTCTCTGGATTACAAGCTACAAGTATGTTTTTGTTTTATTATTTTTTTTTTCATTTCTTTTTGTTCTGTTAGCAGAACGTCTCTATTGTTGTTTTTGTTGTTATTTTGCGAGTTGAATATTCAAGATTTGTGGCATTAAATTGTTGACGCGTGCCTGCCTGCATTTTTTGTTTGTTTTTATTGTGTTTTTTTGTTGTAATTTTTTGCGAAAACTAAAACATGATTTTTGGTTCGTTGGCTGATTTCATGAGCTATTACTAACAAGACAATTCTGCCTGTTTTGTTGCTGCAGCAGTTTTTTGATTTTGATTGATTTTTATGCGCCACAAAGGAGAGCCTTTTTTCCTAACAACAACAGCAACCACAATATGAGCTATACAACCAACTCTAAAAATAACATGTAAGACCACTATTATTTACAACTAATGCTGCATACATACAACTTGTTGCATGGTTAGTTTTTCCTTATTTTGTTAACAAAAAAATCGAAACAAATGAAATTTTTTTTAATATTGAGTGTAAAATAAAATCAACTAAAACAAAAACAAAAATTATAGGAGCGTGTTTAGAATTGTTTATTTATGTTTTATAAGCAGAAACTAGCAACATTCACACTTAATTTTCTTGAGTTTTGTTTCATTTGGCAAACTCTATGCAATATTTGTTGTCTACAACATTGTTTTTGTAAAGGAAAATAAAACAAAAAAACAAGTTGGTTTAATGTTTTGGTTTTGTTGATTTGTTTTACAGTATTTCAAGTTCAATTAAGTTGTTATATGAAGCGATTTTTTTAGTTTTTGTGTTTACTGCAATTGTGTTGTTGTACTTACAGCAGTGGTAAGTAGTTGCTTGCCACCAACCAACCACTCTACTTGCCATCATTATTAACAACATTATCCTCATTATCAGCATTATTGGCATTGGCATCTGCTTGGTGAACTAACTGAGCCGCTGCAGCAACAGCAGCAGCAGCGGTTTTCAATATCGATTGTCATGATGTGCTGTTTGTTTGCCTGCTGCTCCTAGTTAGTTGGTTCGTTTGTTACTTGGTGCCTTCTTATTAAGCAATAGACCATAAAAAACTATACAACCAAACAATTATGATCATTATCACCATAATTGGAATAAACTTTAAAAAACCAACCAACAACAACAAAATTATAAAACAAAAAGGATTTTATTACCAATTTTAGCAAATGCTTAAACTAATTGTAAAGTGTCAATGTACAATTATAATAAAATGATAAAATTAAAAACATTAAAAAATATTTCACAATTTCCTTTTTCATACGACCAAATTTGTTTTATACCAGAAAACATTCAACTTAATTGACCATTGGAATGTCTTTATTACTACTGCTGGTTGGAGGATGTTTAAGGCCATCATCACCATTGTCTTCACCAATCGTCATCATTGAAACAAAGGCATTAAATGAAACGTAAAGAATTTTCATTTACTCGCATTTAATGAAAATATTTAATGTCTGTGTTTATGGCAAAAAGTGTTAAATAATTATTTACAATTAGAAATAAATAAATTTATGGCAAAAAAGTGGAAATATAAACATTTTTACATTTTGTTAAACTATATCTGTATCTAGTAGATAGGGGTAATAGAACAGCACCTTGAGTATATAGATAGTTTTTCCAAAAAATTTATCGTTTTTAAAGCAAGGATTTAAACGAATTTAGATCTAAATATAGCGATGTTATTCCCACCAAACCTAACCATAATTTTATAAAAAAATTTAATCAAAAAGGAAGATAGATATTTTAAATGAAATCGCATATTTTGGGAATAATTGTACAATTTTCCAGAAATTAACAGCTAAAAGTATTTTTTATAAATTTTTTTATGCAAAAAAGAAACATTTCTTTAATTGCATAATATGGATGTATATTTTTATATTATTTAACAATCTCTTACAGGAAATGTTGTTTGTGACAAATTTTCTGTTATAATAATTTAATAAAATTATAAGAAAAAAACATTTCAGCTGTTAGTGTATAAATGAACTAAACAGACAATTATAAACGAAAAAAAAAAAATAAAATAAATTTGTGCAATTTTTGTTTTTGATAATTTTGTTGTGAAGTGTTTCGCATATTTGTTGCATAAAGAATTTTAATTACTTAATTTAACATTTTTTTCTCTTTTTTTTCTCTCTCTTTTTTTGTTTTATTTTCTTTCTTTTGGTTTTTGTTGCTGTATTTCGCAATTATTGTTGTGTTTAGTGCTCCCAGTGCAAAGCTAAACGGTCAAACCACACCTCTTGATGTGTCGAGCCTATCGCAAAACGAGATACAAGGCTTATTGCTTGGCTCACACCCATCAGCAACTACGGCTGCTGTGGCGGCTGCTGCCGCAAATGTCACCACAACAACAACTCTAGCACAACAACAACAGCAGCAACAACAACAACAACAGCAGCAGCAATCAACCATAGTTAGTGCAGCTGGTGGGGGTACGGGTACAGTGGTCATAACAGCTGATCAACATCGTCAACAGGCCACCACAACCACGATAAACATTAAAAGGGAACCGGAAGATTTGCGTAAAGATCCTAAAAATGGTACCGCTAGTAATGGCTCAACAGCCAGTAGCGGACAAAAGGTGAGTGTATGTAACGTCCTTTTTTTAACGGTGTGACACAGAAACCTCTCAAGTCACTCTTTATTACGAAATAAAAAAAGGAACTTTTAAAAAGGATGTTGAACAAAAAAAGGATTTTCTTTCAACAACAGGTGTTGAATAGGATTTTTTATATTTTTAATAATTATATTTAATTTACAATTTAAAAAAAAGCTAAAAGGACGCCACACGCATTAACCAGTTTTGTTGCAAGCCGAAATGGAAATTTTCAAAAAAAAAAAAAAAATATAATCCACAATTTTGGTTCATTTTATTATAACAATTGTATGTGTATTTGCATTTCGAGCGACAAAATTGAAAAAACGTAGTAATTTCTAAATAAATTTCCATTTATATTATCCCATCCAATCCATCTATACATCCATTCATCTATCCATCCATCCGTATGTGCAGAATGCATTTGGAGTAGTGTATTTGTGCGAGTGTTTGTAGCTTTGCAATTGGCTTAGCTTAATTGTTCATTCGTTCAGTTATTCATTCATTCATTCATACAAGCATTCTCACAATCAAACATACATACATTCATACATTAATATACTATATGAGTTTTCTTTTTGTTGTTGTTATTATTATTATTTTCATTTACTCTCAATGTCTAGTTGCTGTTATTTTTTGTTATTGTTGTATGCAGTGGTTTGGAATCACTAGCAAAACGTTTAGCTATTGGCTAAATAAAATCATTTTCGAAACTGTCATACAGTCTGTGTGCGCTTGAAAGCCAAATAAACTTATAACTGTTATACTTAGTCATGGCATCTCTCTTTCTCACTCTAGCCAAAGCAGGCAAAGCAACAACAACCATCTCTTTCCAACCACCCGAAACGAAACCATTTTTATAAATGGGGTATAAACTAACGAGTATGATGAGGTTTGATGCAACTTACTACTGTTGTATGACACTTTTATCATGGTTCGAAACCAACCAAAATACAATTAACATGTTCTTTTCATAATGTTTGGGGATCTAGTGATAAGATCACTCTTCTACTACTACTACTAGTTGTGTCAATAATAAATATAATAGATTGATCAAGAGTGATAAGTACTAACATGCTGTGATACATTTGATGGTGTGTGATAATAGAACATGCAACAATTTAATCAAATCAGAAAAACTAATATTAACAGTTGTTTAAACATACATTAAACTTAATTCAGACAAAATTTTCTTCCCTTAAATTTGTCGCACCAGAAAACAGCAAAACAAAAACACTGTGTTGTTCATTCATTTTTAACATTGTTGATATTCACACCTCAGCAACATACTACTACGATCGATGGTGGTGGTTGGTTTGATCAATTGCTTGATTTGTTTTTGTATTTCAACTAGCAGAGTCGTTTTGATGTGTGTCTAACCAACAACTAGTCTTACATACCTTTAGTCATCTTTTTAACGTGGTCTTGACAAGGTCGTTCTGTGAAACGCATGTTCAGTTTAGTTTGTTATTTGATTTCAAATTAAAAAAAAACAACAACAATTTTTTAGCGGGAACGATCTATAAAAACAATAATAAATTTCTATTTACGTAATAATACAAGGATTTCAAACGATACAAATCAAACAACCAAAGATTTTATTTATTTAAAAATAATAATATTGAAAAATTAAAAAAATATATATATTTTAAGAAAATATATTAAAAATATTATAAAGTTAAAAGGTATAAAAATTTAAGTTTATTAATTTAAAAAACCTGGCTGAATGAAATAATAAAAAGTTTTAGTGAAAATTTGTCTTAAAGAAAACTGCCTTTGGGTGATAAAATTTTAAAAGAAATAATTGTTTAAAATTTAAAACAAAAAAAATTTATGCCAATAACAGTTAAAATCTTAAATAAAGTGTTTATCAACATCTGCAATATCAAGAATAATAATAACAACAACATTTGCTTTGTTTGTAAAAAGCTAAAAAACAGCAAGCTCAGTAATAATAATAATAACAACAGCAGCAGCATTTATGTGTAAGTGTGTGTAGGCGGTATTTGTTGTTTTGTTTGTTCGCTTGTTTGTTTTATCACACACAACCTGAGCACCCTCACAACATAACGCTGGTGTCTTAAGTCTTTTGATTTGAACACTTGTGCTGCAAGCAAAAGCTTACAAACACACCATAACAACACACTTGTACAAAATTATCACAAAACGAAAGAAAAAAACAAGTACTCTAGTAACAGACTTGACAGAAAATTGAACAAAATTTAAAAAAATTAATATTAAAATAAAACATTAATAAAAAAAAACTAAATTACGGAAAGAGACAATAATAATAATTGTTCCGATATAAAATTATTAATTTAATTCTTCCTTAACAATCATCTTATGCAAATACATATATAACACTCAAACCTGTTAACTTCATTAACAAACTGAACAAAAAATCAATTTCACTTTTGTTTCAAGAATTTTTTTTGTGACTTTTTTTAAATTTAGTTTTTTTTTTGTCTTTTAATATTTATATACATATTTAAATTCTTAATTGCGTTATTTTTTTTGAAAAGAAAAAAAGAATAAGAAAAAAACCCATCTACATAATATGATAATATTCTAAAGTTTTATTTCCTGTTAAATTAATAATCAATAGAGCAAAAATATACCACAAAAAAGATTCTGAAAGCGAAAACTATACATAAATATATTTAGTTGTTTTTTTGATTTTGTCACAATCATTAAAAATTTATTGTTGTTATAAACATTATTTGATTATTGATTTTGTTATTTATATAACAATACCTACAGTCAAATATATGAATTCTTAAGCGTCATCAGGTTTTTTTTTCATCTATTGTAGTTGTTTTCTTTCAGAGAGTTTTTAGTCAAGGTCTTTGTAGAAAAAATATATATATATATATATATATTTTTTTTTTAAACAAAACCGATAATATTATTATGTCGTTTAAAGTTTCAAACATGTTTCCAAGCATTTTAAACAATACAAAAAATGCAAATTAAACGCACATTTAAAACTAAATATAGTTTATATTGTCTGTTAGAGTGTTGTGTTGTTGGCTTAAAGCTAAACTTTAAGATTATCATTATAAAAATACAACAATAGTGTTAGCAGCATCTTTATCGTCATCAGCTTTAACATTGTAAGCATCTTTAAAGTATCATCTGTTTAAAGTTAAATTAATTTTTGAGTTTTGTTTGTGTTTTTTTTTTTTTTTTTGTGGAAGATGAAATGAAAACAATATCATAAATTATCTAATTTTTTTTATTTTGTAAACCTTTTATTTTTATAAAATTTTTATTATGCATATGTATAACTCTACAATTTGTATTAATTTTATTTAAATTTCCATGCCTATAGGCCGTTTTAAAAACGTCACAAATTTTTATGTCTTTTTGAGTTTTTGAAATTTGATTTTTAAAAATTTTGAAATATTTATGTATAATTTTATGTGTGTCATTGATTATTATGTATAAATTGTTTATGCATAATTATGTTACTAAGTTAAAGTTAAAGTGGGAAATGTTTGTAACTCTAATTGATGATAGCGTTGTTTTAACAGAGATTTTTATCTTTTCAAATGTTAAGATTTCAAGCCATAAAATTCTAGTTGAAAATTTTTGAAATTTTTGTTTTAATATATCTTCTATGATGTTTTTAAGTTGTAATTTAAATTTTGAACTTTTTAATGTTTATAGGGTTATTTTAAATATAGGAAAATTAAATACAAGTTTTGGTCACAAATGAAAATTGTATTATAAATTTGCTAGAAAGAATTTGAGGAAGATCAGCTGATTGATTTCAGTTTAAAATTCAGTATCTAGGACCGAAATTTTATTTTCAAAATTTGTATAAAAATTACTCAATTTTTAAATATTTTTTGAGTGTTTTTCATACAAAATTTGAAAATAAAATTTCGGTATAAGTTTTTAGTCATTTTATAAGAAAACAAATTATATTTGAAAAGCTTAGCACGAAAGCTTGATAAACTATAGTAAAGGGGCTTAACGCCGTAATCAGTATCTAGGACCGAAATTTTATTTTCAAAATTTGTATAAAAATTACTCAATTTTTTTAAATATTTTTTGAATGTTTTTCATACAAAATTTGAAAATAAAATTCCCATCCGAGATAGTGAATACGGTTTTTAGTAATTTTATAAGAAAACAAATTATATTTGAAAAGCTTAGCACGAAGGCTTGATAAACTATAAAAAACGGGCTTATATTTTGCACTAAATTTGTACTAAATATCTTGAAAAGTTTCTGTACTAAAGTCCAATTTTATACAAAATACAAATTTGAAAATAAAATTTCCATACGGGTATAGGTTTTTAGTAATTTTATAAGAAAACAAATTATATTTGAAAAGCTCAATACGAAAGCTTGATAAACTATGGAAAACGGAATTATATTTTGTACTGACAGGAAGGAAGACTACGTAGGTTAAAGTTCTAAGCATAAGTTCTATCTTTAAAAAGAACTGTAAAATCCAGACTTTGGATTTTTGTAATTTTGTTAGATTTTAGAAAAAAATAAGTATCGAGTGAAAGATTTTCTAATTTAACATTAAACAATTTCTACTTAGGACACTTTGTATAAAAATACACACATTTTCAAATATCCTAAAAACTCTAGTTATTTAACAAGCCAGACAGTAATAAATTAAGTCTACCTGTTGTGACAGATTTTTGTATGGATAAAATATGAAAATATATTTCGAAAAAATAATGCGTGGTTTAGTTTTGTTTTTACGGCTACTACGTCACACTGTAGGATTTACTTCCTGTTTGGAAAAAGACAAAAAAAAAATCACAAAAAAAAAAAAAAACGAATAATAATAATAATAAAGCTGAAAATAAAATGACAAGTTAATGACAGTAAAGACTGCAAAAATAAAATAATATTGACAACTAAAGAAATAAACAAAAAAAACTAAAAACAAAAAGATGTGACTCATTTGATACCAAAGAAATGGAATATTTTAGTTGATGACATTTTAAACTAAATATATAAAAAATTAAATTTAAAAACGCATGATTTATAAATTCAAGGACATATTATTTATAAGAATATGGTGGTATTAAAAAAATTCTATTAAGTGTTAATGTGTTAAATTAACTAAGTAAGGAAATTTTTTTCGTTTATTAAAATTAAATATTAAGAAATTTGTTTTGTCATATTTTTTTTCCAATTTTCAAGCGTTAAAAACAAAAAGTTATAAAATTCATTTCAAAAAAAAAAAAAAAAAAAATACACACTCACACACATTAAATAAAAATAACAATAAATTCGCCCACTGTCAATATTTAAATTTCGTTATTTTTTTTTTTAATTAAAAAAAAAAAACAAATATATATGCATATATTTTATATTAAAGTAACAACAACAACAGCAACAGTAAAAATTTTAATACAAATGTATAATGCTACGTTTTTTTTAAACAATCTTAAATTTTTTTATAAAATATTTATTTATTTATTGTACGTATAATAATAATAAAAAAATAAAATGGCGTCTTAGTGACTTAAACATTTGACATTTTCAAAAAAATATATACATACACACATACAGACAAACAGATATACTAAGGTATATATATATAAATCGAAATTATCATTTTAATTGCTTAATATATAGTGTTTTTAAGCTGAAAACAGATATGACATATTTATATACAAAAAAAAAAATTATATATATACCTATATTTTCGAAAATATTTCCATTAGTTACTAAATGATTGTGTCATTTCAAATCTAAGTAACAAAAGACTGTTCTCTAAAAAAAATTTAATAAAATTTTAAGTTATTTTAGAGAAAACCTTCAAAATTAGAGACCAACCAAAGATTTAAGCTTTTTTTCCAAGAAATAAGCTCTAAACAGACTATTTTTTTTTTTTCAGAAAACAAAAAGGAGTGTTAATTAGTATTCAAAACAATTTAAAGAAAATAATAAATAATAATAAAATTCTTTGTAAAATTAAAACTTTTTAAAAAAAATAGTTTTTAGTTCATATATCTTTCATAATAGTTTTCTATAATATTTTTTATAATTTTAAAATCTTTCATAATTTCATAGTGAACAGGATCTATGGTAAACTATATTACGAAATTATACAAAATCTTTTTTTAAAAGAATTTTTAAACGGTCAGAAACTTATAACTAATTATTTAAAAGACCCTGATAACACCTTAATTTGTTTAAAAACTAATATTTAATGATCTTACATAAAAAATTAATAAAAATAATTTCATATTTCAAAAACAACAACAGCCTAAATAGAGTTTAAAGTTAATTTAAAGTACAAGCAGAACTAATAAAGATTAGCTACCGTATGAGTTTAAACAAAACTTGGTTAAATCTTTTTGTTGATAGTTTTTTTTTTCAAAAGCTTTTGAAATCTTTTTTAAGCCATCAATCAAAGCCACTTGTTGTCAATTATTATCAGCTAGACTTTGAAAACTACTTTAACTAATTTTGAAGTTTTTTTTGTTTATATATTGTTTTGTTATTATTTGTAAATTATGTAGAGACATAAAGTAAATATTGAACTATTATTATTATTATAATTTTCATAATTATTCTTGATTTGTAAACACATTTCAAAAATGTTGGCACCACAATGTCAATTCATTTATGTTTTTTTTTGGTTAATTAATCAAAGCCATAACAACCAAAATTTTCTAATTTTTATTTATAAACTTGAAGCTAAAATTTAATTAATAATTTTAATTAATAGTTATTAATTAATTTATTACTATTTTTAATGTTATTTTTCTTAGTTTACAACTTTTACATAAATTTCTTAAATATTATTCAAATTTCCAAGAAATGAAACTATAAATAGTTAAAAGGTGCGGTTTTTAAATAATTTATTTTATTCAGCAGTTTTATTTGTTTTCACTAATGTTTGTATAAAAATAAAAAAAAACACTCATAAAAACTTAAATTAAATAATAATGATAATATTGATAAAACAGAAAACTTAAAAAAAACTAAATATGACATGAAATTTGAAGGTTTTTTTTTTGGGTATTGGATTGATGAATTTCATTTCATGTTGTTGTCTCGATTTCATTTAATGCAGACAGTTAAGTAATCACATACAACATTTGATCATGATGCTTATGATGACGATAATGACAATGATCATGATGTTAAAGATGACCAATATTTTAAAGATTTATATGTTAATCATTATTAGTTTTATGTGGAAATTTAAAACTAAAGGTGTAAAAAACCTAAATATTTGATATAAAACACTAAATGTTACAAAAAATTTTAAGAGTTTTTTTCTTAAACTTTAACATTTCATTCAGCCAGTAGTTTTTTTTCTTTTCTCTCAAAGAAAATTCTTAATTTTGTTTAAATGTAAAAAAATCTAAAAAATACTTGGCCTTATCGTAAAATCTCTCTATAAATTGCTCAAACATTTTCAACAGGTTATTGTATTACAACAATCACCATCGCCCACACAAATACATATCAAAGAACCGCCACTTAGTCCTGGAAGCCCAACAAATCATACAGAAGCCATGTACGCTGCCGGCGGCGGCACTCAAATTTATCTGCAGGTAAGTTGAACACAACAACAACAGCAACTAAAATACCAAGCTTGCTGCATGCAAACAAATTAAAATATCAAGTTAATCTTATTGTTGTTGATGGTGATTGAAATCCTCTTAATATAGACAATTTGGTTACAAATGACTTAAGACATGAAAAGTTCTCTTTGGACCAGTTCAGTTCGATTTAATTTGTTTTTGTTTTGGTTTTTTTATGTTTTCACTTTCATGACATGTGGTGTCAAATATATTGCCTTTTGCGGTAGGCAGTTTAGTATCATTTTATAGTAGTTGGAACAGGTTGAACCGTTAACAGACATACAAATAAAAACACCAACCATTACACTCACTCATATTCCCTTCCGTTTTAAACGGCAGCATATAAAAGAAGGCTGCTAACAAGAAAAAAAATCAACAATGATTTAGCGCCAGTATTAACTAAACCGGAATCTCCTCAAAAGTAACAAAAAAAGAAAAACAAAATTATAAGAAAAGAAGAAACCAAAAACATTTAAAAAGAACACGTTCCTCACACACGCCAACCAACCGACCAACCAGCCAGCCAACCAGTTAACTATCCAGTCTGTCAGACCAGCAAAAGATGGAATAAATATACTTGAGAATATACTCCTCCGCAGACTTAAGAACATAAACAAGAAAACAAAACAACAAACAATATACACACGTACACACCAGCAACAAATCTCACAGTGACTTTTTTTAAATGACAAGAACTTTTTTAAGCCGATTAACACCCTCAATGCCAGTAGCAACAACAATACGAATTATGGATATAACTGAAACAAAATATTAAATCTTGATCATAATTTATTTTATAATTGCAAATTAGGGTCCTCATCAAAACTCAGCAGCTGGACCGGGCAGCAATGTAAACACACAAACACCCAGCCCTGGACCTTATATAGGAGCCGATGGCTATGGCATGTATACAACTAGTCGCTTGACAACAGCTCCAACCACCACATTCATCTCGGAACCCTACTATCGTGAATATTTCCCAACAGATGGTCAAGGTTATGCACCTACCCGCACTATATACGGCGACAGTGAAGGTCCCCATCCGGGCACCACTTATGAAGGACGTTTCACTACCACAACCACCAACAGTGGTGGTATACCACCTCCCCATCCATCGGCGAATGTAACGAAAAACAATGGCGGCACCCCCATCTATGCAAAGACAGTAACAGCTGCTGGTCTTACAGTCGACTTACCCAGTCCGGATTCGGGCATAGGAGCAGACGCCATAACACCGCGAGATCAAAACAATATACAACAGGTAAGTTGAATGAAAATCACAAATAAAATTAAAAATATCATGCGTTCATGCGTCTTCTCAACAAACTGCTGAGGAAATTTGGTAATACCTCCTTTGGCAGCAGTTTGTGTGGGGAAGCTGTGATTTTATGGTTGATTGTTTTCTTGTTTCAGAGCCCACGAGTTGGTTTTTGTAAATATATATTTTATAATATTATTTTAATTATTAGGATTGAAATACTTTTTTTCTTTTTATTTAATTAACAAAACTGGTAATATTTTGCAAAAACTATGAATAGTGAGTGCGTGTAGCGTCCTAATATTTTATTTTCTACTCAATAAGATTTTTTAATATTTTAATTAATTACATTTAAAATTTACTTAATTATTAATTCATGTTTATTGTTGTTTTGTGTCTCATTTTAGTCCTTCGATTATACGGAACTTTGTCAGCCCGGTTCATTGCTGGATAACAATGGCGGCATACCTGTTTCGGTTAATAGCATACAACGTGGTGCTGTTAGTGTCCATGGCGGCCAGAATAGTCCCACAACCTCATTAGGTGGCACCAGTGCTAATGGTAGTGCTACTCGTTCTAGGCCATGGCACGATTTTGGTCGACAAAATGATGCTGATAAAATACAAATACCAAAAATGTAAGTTTTATTAAATAATGATATTTTAAATTTAACTAAATTGAAACGAAAATAATAAATTTTCATTAAAACATTTTTAAATTCTTAGTTTTATGATAATTTTTGAAAAAAATTATAAATCTTAAAAATTTTTTTCTAGAAAAATCTTAAACAATATTTATTGAAAGCATTTTCATTTAATCATGCAGTTCCTCCGAATTATATAATTTTAAGTAAATTAAAGTGTTCTAGTAAAGAAACATTATTTATTTGAGAAACCCTAAAAAATGAAAAATCCCTGCAAAAAATTAGGCTACTTCGCGAACTCTTGTACTCCACGAAGGACTAGGACTGGTCCAAAACTAATCCAAATATATTGAAATGTAATCCATTTAACATTGTGATGTCCTAGATGAGGACCACGTAATACATCAATGTATTAAATCGGGCTAATCCCAAAACTAGTCCCATGCTGAAATTGTGAGAGTACATGATCCGCAACATGGTCCAATGTAATGCTGGCTATGGACCATGTTGCTATCAAAATCATAAACATGATCCATGCCTTCATTACATAGGACTATTAAACGGATCATGTACTCCTATAATGTTTACAGTGGAGTAGTTTTAGGATTACCTAAATAGATTATGTACTCAAATAATTTTTGCAGGGATATTAAGGCATTTTGAATTATAATATAACACTAAAAGATCAATTTAGAAAAGATCATTACTGTGGCCCATTTTATAGATTTATCAATATGTTACCCTCTTTATTTGCAGATTCACAAATGTTGGTTTCAGATATCATCTAGAGTCGCCAATAAGTTCATCCCAAAGACGAGAAGATGATCGAATAACCTACATCAACAAGGGACAATTCTATGGCATCACCTTGGAATATATACCCGATCCCGATAAGCCCATCAAAAATACAACAGTTAAGGTAAGTTGTCTATGAAACATTTGAGAACAATTTAAAATAAAATAAAATTCATAGGATTATTAAAATAACAAACAATGATGAAATAGAAATAAATCAAATAAAATGTTCATCATCAATTGGTTAAGTAGTACAGAAAAAATTAGATTGATGTACATATGCAAATGTTATAAATTAGTCCCTTATAGGGGGGAGAATTGAAAGGAATAAAAACTTAAATAAACATTTAGCTGAAAGCAAGTAAGACAGACAAACAGCCAGCAGGGTTTTTCTTAAAGACACTAGAAATATGTATAAAAAAGAGTTGTGTAAACAAACGTTAGTGATTTGTCATGTTCTGCATGATTAAGAATTTTAGCACTTCCTTAGAAGACAAACAAAAAAAGGAAATCAACCCTTTCATTTCCATTTCATGTTTTTTTAGTTTTTGTTATGGAAATCAATCTACAATGATGTCTACACTCGTCAATGTCATTTCAAATCAGGACAATTATTTCAATGATCAGATGAGATGATGATGATGATGAGTTGATAGATGATAAATGATTTTTATGATTTATGTATTTACTGGAGGATCCCTTTTTATTACTGCCATTGTTATATAATTTGCGCAACATTTGAGAAAATATATAGCAGAATAAAACTACATCTTACAATCTCTCGGGTAACATCTCAAGTGTATTTGTTTAGGTTGAAGAGAATAAAATCGGTTACAAACGCTGCTCATGATGAGTTAGTGAGTAATTGAGATCTTTTGCTAACATTATCAATCATATCCAAAGATAACAGTGAATAAATTTAAGCAGCAAACAGGATATGTAAATTTTCCAAATCAAAAAAATAGAAATTTGTTACAATTTGCTGGTTGCTGCTGCTGCTACTGTTTAAGTTCATTTATTGTAGAAACATTAAGTTTTTTTTTCTCATGCATTTTTTTTTTCTTGCTAAATTCCTTTTTTTTGTGTGTTTAACGATTTTTCTTTAATTGCTTGGCAATGCAGCAGTTGTAATTTAAAACTACCAAATGTCTGCCAATGCATAAGTGTGTGTGTTTGTTTTTATTTTCATGTTATAATTTGTTGTCTCTTAAAACTTATAACGTTTAAACTTTCCTTTACAATAAAACTAAAACAACAATATTTTCTCCATCTAACATCTAACATTTTATATAAATTTTTTTTAATGATTTTCACTAGTCTATTTAATATTAACAATTTTTTTTGTCTTCAACTTTTATCGAAGTATTAAGTGCGTATGTATGTTTATTATTATTAATACAGTTTATGCGTGGTTTTCTTTTTGTATTAAATACAAACAATTTTTCAAAAGAAAAACTAGCCTTGAGGCTTTTATCGTTTATTACTAAAAATTGAAAAAAATAACACACACATCATATTTAAGCAAAACCATGACTGTGGTAGACAGTCATGCCAAGATATTGATATTTTTAACTAGATTAATTTTATGATATCAAATTTTCCATTTGTTAATTATTTATTTTTTAAATTATTATTTTTAAACATGAAACTCTTAATACTTTTAATGCTGCTGCTTGACTTTATTTTTAATTTCTTTTTATATTTTGTTTTTTTTTTTGTTTCTCAATAACATATTGAAATTGATGCATTAAGTGAATAAGAAAATCAAAAATGCATTTAAAACAATTTGCATAAATATCTCATAAATAAAGTTAAAGGCTTAAAGTAACAACAGTACACAATCTTAAGGCTGCTCTTTTTTTTAATTTCCTTTAAGCAAAAATATTTTATACAAAATCATACAAAAACAAGAAGACACAACAGAAAAAAAAAAATAAATGAATAAAGTGTCAACTTTAATTTATGTTTGTTTAACTATAAGCCCTTCATGCAACATCCCCAGCACTGCATATACAATAAGACTTAAACGAAGAGAGAATGAAAAAAGGATTGAATGCAAATTTTTATTTCTGTTCAAATTATTTACGATCCAAATCTAAATCTTAACTGTTTGCTCAGCAATCTATCTTTATCGTGTTAACTAAGCATAGCAAATTTAAATTTCAATTTAAGAATATCAGCAGCAGCAGCAGTATTCCTTCTCCTTTAAACTCTTTCTTTTTAGTTTAGTGGAGTTTATAAAAGAGGGTAGTTTTTCCACAGATGCACGTTTTCTTGTGTCTATTTGTTTGTCTGTCTTTCTGTCTTCGTTTTAATGACAAAAAATAATCATCTTCAGTTGTTTTCTTTTCTTATATTGGTTTTTTGTGCTGCTCATTAATTTGAATTTTTTGTCTTAAAAAAATGATCTCTTGCAAAGATCGTTCTTTATTCTACATTTAATGTTCGATTTATGCAAATTTTCTTAAATACATTTTTTATGGGGATTTTCTTTGATGAACATTTATAACCTTTTGACTTTTGCTTTAAACGAAGGTGATGGTGTGGAAATTAAAAATATAAACATTATACCTAGGATTTGAATACTACTATTTTTAAAAAAGAATTATTAACTGCATAGAAAAAAAATTAAAATTTTCAAAAATTTTCCTTATAGAAATCCTAAAATTTTGTTAAAAATCTGTCTAAAAATTTAAATATGTTTTATTAAGTTGCTTAACATTTTAATAACTTTCATTTTTACTAAAAACTAATTTTATTTTATTTATTTCTTTGTATCTAATATAGAGTGTGATTATGTTAATGTTCCGTGAAGAGAAATCGCCTGAAGATGAAATTAAAGCCTGGCAATTTTGGCACAGTCGACAACATTCTGTGAAACAAAGAATCTTAGATGCAGGTAAGTTCATATAAAATAAAAAAAAACTCAAATTATTTATTGGTCTATAGTAACCATAGAAAATGAAAAAGTTTTAATGCAATATTTCAAGAAAATTAATTATCTTAACGAAACTGTTTTTTTGGTCGGACTAAATTTCAAAGTCATTGTAATAATAGTTGATTCACAAAAAAACAGGAAAAAAACCAAAATGTAACGATTTTTAATTATATTCAAAATGTTGTAAAATCGTGGTTTTATTATTGACTCCCACGTGTAACAACAGATGGAAGAGACTTTTGTTGATTTTGATTATGCGATGCGATGGTGTTGTGTGCTATGATTCTTGTTGCAACATGTTAAAGTTAATGTTAATATATGTTCGAATGTCGAATGTTTGTTTGTGTGTCCGTTAGTATGTTTGATTATTTAAACATGACTGTTTGTTAATGTGTAATTTGAGACAATGTTGCTTCATTTTCATGCTTGTTGTTGTCCCTGGTTCTCTGGGAAATAAAATCTTTATTTCTACAACAAGTGTCATATTGAATATATTGCATACATATATACCTACATACATATATAAATACATATAGTGGGTATTCAAGCCCAACGATGCTTATCATTTGGTATTATGTTTGTGTGTGTGTATGTGTGTATAGCATGGGTTTTTTTCGGTTATTGGAGATCATTGTAAGTTTTGTAATTTTATTGAATACGCATCGAATGAATTTGTTGCGGGCAATGTCCAATGGCCATTATAACAAAGATTTCATGGCTGATAAAAAAATTAAAGGCCTTTGCTTTTTTTAAACAACACAAGACAACAAACAACCCATACCTTTAATGTGCAAGTACACCAACATATAGACAAGTATTGGGCTGCATTCATACCCGTATGCAGGCAAACTTTAAGGGGAGTCTTTGGCAATCACCTGCGTCTCTCTTTGGCTAATTGGAAAATCATCCAAAGGAGTGTGTAGTTTTGCTGCAGTCTGCAAAGGTATAACGATGGCGTGGTTATTGGCATGTTCGTTTGTGCCTTAAAATGGCAGATCTATACATTGTGATAAGTAATTGCTAATATGTTTTCAAAAAAAAAAAAAAAGTTGTATGTTCGTTAAATAAATGTGAGCATGTGTGAATAAAGATGACAAATGACCAAATCATAATTGTGTTCTTTTGCTCTCTCTCTGTTATTTTGGAGCCAGCTACAAATTGTTGCCTAAATGGCTTTTTTGTTTGTAAATTATATTCACATATTACTATTTTCTTTCGTTTGCAGATACCAAGAACTCAGTGGGTCTAGTTGGCTGTATTGAGGAAGTCTCCCACAATGCCATAGCAGTCTATTGGAATCCTTTAGAAAGTTCTGCCAAGGTAAGTTTAAAAAAAATTATTATTTATACCACTGTATTACGTGTCCCCTTTTGTAAGCATACCGCTTAGTGCTTATAGTTATTAAGCTTATTAGCTTGTAACTTTTCCGGCAGCAGCAAAAAAAAAAAAACAAAATTAACTTGGCCGCTTTATTTGGTTCACAGCCCCACGAAAGAGAGTAAATGATAATGTTAATGAAAACACATAAATATCAGTAAGCGATTAAAGCTAATCAAGCTTAATTGCAACAAAAAACACAATTTTTTTTCTACGGTAGCTGCTAGTGAACAATATGGGGAACTTAATGCAGCTCTTACATCTTGTGTAAAATTGAACACAAGGTGTTGTTGTTTAATTTACTTCTTGTGGGCCTAAGACTACAACTACAACTACTAACTGCTAAAAGTTATTTTCTACTGCTTCATCATCATGCATAACTTATGAAAAATATCTCAATTTCCGTTGTTGAAAATTACACGACGACTGCCTCTTTAACGTAAAACATTATTTAGTCAGTGAGCTACATAATGTGCTCGCCTTTTGCTGCATTCATGTAGAAATCCTTTTAGGCCTTAGGTTTAGTTTTTTTTTACATTTTCCTTTCTTAAAGGTGGCCCAGGTTGTAGTTTTTTTTTCTGTTATACTGTTCTTTTATGTTTGTACTCATGCTTGAGCTAAAAAAAAACTATAAGAGCACCTGGCTGTGTGTAGTAATATTCTAAGTTGGCTTTTTTTAAGGGTAATACTTTAATATGGCATTGAATTATGCCACACATTTCAACAAAATAAGCTAATTTTACTCTTCATTTAGTCTCTATTTGCTGTAGCAAATATAAAAATATTTTTTTTTTCAAAAGTCAAAGAAAAATATTAATTGGGAGTTTTATAAAGCTTAAAAAATTATTACATACTTAAAGCAAATGAAAATATTTCATAACTTAAGCTAAACATTGACCAAAATCAAAAGACTTAAGTAACAAACTTGCATGCATCTAATGGTGGGTGTTTAAATAAATAAAATCATTTTTTTTTTTAGTTTTTACAATTTTATTTAATTTCCATAATATGCATAAGTTATATGTAAAATCTATTAAAAAGGAGGCGTTTTCTTTTTAAATATTTTCAACCAATTGAAAAACGTTTGTTTATTTCATTTTATTTTTTTGTGACAGTAAAATGTGCGCCATTTATTAAAAAAAAAAAACGAAAAAATATACAGTCACACTTGCATGTTGTTTGATTTCTTTTAACACTCTATACTTTATGTTTTTGTTGTTGTTGTTTAGTATTTTTCTGTTTTTCATTTTCATTAACCATATAATGTTGACGTAATCATTAATGCTAATGTGTTTCATATTATTGTTATTACCAGCAATTAGCACCTCACGCACTTCATGGCGCAGTAGTTTGAAGTTATATACATATGTATGTACATACATATCTGTATGTAAAATAACATTATGTGCAAAAATACATACATATGTTAACATTAAGATGGTTCCACTTTTTTAAGAAAGCAAGAAAACCTATTCAATATTTTGAAACCAATTGCAATGTTAAGTTTTAAACTAAAGCAGACATTTTTTATAAAAAAAAATTATAAATAAGAGCCAGCCTAATGTACATTTGTAAACACCTCACAGCACTAGCAAGGCAATAAAAGAGAAATGAAATATTTTTGTAAATGTTTGTAAGTGTGTGTTTAATGTTAAATATTTATTTATGCAAATTTATTCAATTACTGACCAATTGCAAAATTGGTGGAACATTTAAAAACGTAATAAACTGACAAATACAAAACATTTTACAGTGTAATAAGAAAATTTCGTGTAGTGAAGATCAGCCATTTAAAAAATTACACTTTTTATACATTTTGTTTTATAAATCATTAGAATTTTATTTACAAAAAAATTTTATTTATACTCTATTATTAATTAAATCTAGAGTGTTTTAATAAATTACATTTAATTTTCTTATTTTGCATTTTTTTGAAATTATATTTGTTATGGTTAATTGTAGTCAATGCCTGGTGTAATATTAATTGAAATTAAATTTAAATGAGTTTAGTTTAGTAGATTTGTTTGTTGTTTTTTTGTGTTTTTTTATTAGTATTTTTACTCAATACAAAAGCAATACAATTAAATCATTTGCAATTTCCTGTGTAATTCTAACAAACAGTGGCCATTTTAAAAAATCATTTTTTTGTTGTTTTTTCTTTTTTTATCCAACCTAACACTGGAAATCAAATTGTATAGAAAATGTATTTAGTTGTTAGTTTGTTAATAAATCACATTTAGTTTCAGTTAAATGCAGTTGTTACAAACGCATTCTATGGTGATTATGTCAGCCGTATTAAAACATTTTTACTAACTGAACAAACAGAAAAAAAGAAATATTAGACGTTTTTGCTAGTTGTTGCTTGTTTTTCTTCAATCACTGCACTACAAGGCTTATTAAAGTATTAAAATTTATTGTAAATGTAGCAAAAAATACAAAATTTCCATAAAATATACTACTAGATATTTAAAAAACATATTTTATAAATACTGCTGCTACAGCAGTTTTCTAAACTGTTTTTTTTATTAACCTACTATAGAGACTATCAGGTCAATTATGACACTTGTAAATTATAAATAATAATCTCATAATAATTTCATTATTATTACATAAATAAGGTTTTTGACTTTCTTATTTTACAAATTTGCAAAACTATGTATTTTAAAATTCTGTACATTAAAAGTGGCTGTTAAGCTCTCGAAGTTTTTACCAAACAATTAAATCCTTTAAATCTAAAAGTATTCTAGCTGATTACTCTGGCTGCATACAGGTGTGGCATGTACTTTACGTGTCATTAAATAACAAAATTATACACTTTACATACCTCACAGGGATGACCATTTTGGTAAAATACTTTTTATCCATAAAAACGTTTACCGTGCCAGTCTCACTGCTGCTTTCTTCGAAGCATAACTTACTGGCACTTTATCATACATTTAGTTTGTCTGACTGTCTGCTTGCTTACATACTTTTGCTTCTACTTAGTTAGATATGCAACTATGTTCATATGTATGTCTTTAGCTAATTAATTTTCTTGGGCTTAAGTCCAAGTTAAAATAATAGGATTTTGCCTATGTTTATTTGATGTCCATCTATTGCAAAGACTATTTGTGTTTGAATCAAGCAAAGGAAGATGAAATATGTTTAAAATTGCCAATTGTAATTATTTATGGTGTTGTTTAAAAGATTTCAGATTGTGGACAACAAAAAGAACAAAACAATAGGAAGAAATTCATTTACAAATTGTTTAAAGCTCATCTCTTTATCTGTTTGGGTGTGTGTGTATGTTGTATGCGTTACGCCCGCCTTAACTACTCCTTTGGCCACAAACAATGTCACATATTCACTCGGTTATAAACTGTAATCTGCCAAGTTATACAAGACATTCTTTTTTGTTTTGTTATCGGTTGGCTTGCAAAATCTCTGCAAATCATAATGCAACAGTATTTTAAACGTCTAAATGTCTGCTGTATTAAGGCAGCTTTTGCATGATGATGGTGATGACGACCATGTAAAGTCAAAGAAGTTAGTGAGTGAGTGACTGACTGACTGAGTGAGTGAATGGTGGCTCTGCCCTAAGCTTTATTTGGTAAGCCCGTGTTCGCTAATTAATTCCCATTAAATGCTAGTGGCTGTTTTGGTTGTTGCTGTAGCTGCTGCTGCTGCAGCATCGTTGCACTTTGCCATTAAAAATGGCTGGTAATAAGCTTAGACTTTGTTTGTTGGATGGTTGATGTTATTGCTGCTTGTTTGTAAATGATTATGCGTTTTTAGTTGTATATTGTGTAGTTTGTATTTATTTATTTTTTTTGTTAACCAACAATGTGTAGATGATGATGGATTTTCCAATAGCTCTTGCCCCTTTTGTGTACATTTGCGTTGTGTTGTTTTGCGTTTTTTTTTTCTACTACTTTTGCAATAACATTCTCGAAATTGTTTTAAACACATTTCCACTGAAACTAAAAATGAATAAAAAAAAAAATGAAAAAATAAAACAAACATTTAAACAATCATACGCACAATCACATGGAATCAAAGAAACAAGTGAGTAGTAGAAGAAGCAGAAGTACAAGCAGGAGCAACGGCAGTAAAAACCATCATTTAACAACTTTTATAATGTGTTGCAGTCAAAGCCCATGTTTGTATGTATATATGAATGCAAGATGATGTTGTTGTTGTGTGATGATGTGCGTTGCAATGATATTAAATAAAAATTAAATGTTTTTTTTTTTCTTATATTTTATTGTTGTTGTTGACTTCTTGGCCGTTGTTCTTCATGATTTGATATTGTGATTTATTGTAATGTTTGCTTAAAAATCAACAGCAGCAACAAAACCAACATCAAATGCAAACGCATTCAAACTGCAAACTGCAACAGTCATCATCACCATAATGGCTTAAGTAGCCAACTTTAAAGTATCCATCTACTACATCTACAATACGCTTCTTACTGTTGTTGTTGGGTTTTTTGCCATTTATTTTGTTGTGTTATTTGTTTATTATTTAATGGTTGTTGTAGTTGTTTTAGTTAGGTATGTGCGTGTGCTTTTAAGCAATTAATAGCCAATGACAAATGCTGTAAAATAACTGCATGTCCAATGTTTGAAAATGGCATCTAAAATAAAATGTTATGAAAAAGAAAAGAAGAATTAATTTCTTCTGCTGCTGTTGTGTACAATTTATTTGGTTTCCCTGCCGTTTTTGTTGTAATGTTGTTTTTTTTCGAGCTGCCATCTGATAATTTCTTTTTATGTTTATGATTTCCTTATGGTGGCATTTTACATACTTAGTTTTTTGTTTTTAATTTATTTAAAAATTGTAAATTAAAATTCTTTTCTCTTTTACAGATAAATATCGCCGTGCAATGTTTAAGTACAGATTTTAGCAGTCAAAAGGGTGTGAAGGTAAGTGAAATTAAAATTTAAATATTTTTTTCAAGTTTGTTCTCTGTTCGATTATTAAAATTCTTCTTGATATGTTTCCCACTTAAATAACAAAAAACAAAAACAAAAGACTTAGGAAACAAACTTAAAATGCTTAAAGTTTTTCTTGCTCTAAATGTTAACTCTTAAAAATCAATAATTTCAAAAAATACTTGCTGTAACCCATAAAATAAAATTTATGGCATAGAACAAGTAAAATTAGAATTTGTCACACATTTCCTCTTCAAACAAAAATTAAAAAAACAAGAGCGAAAATAGAAAAATAAAAAAAAATATTTTCTTTAATCAAAACATAAATCATCAAGAAAAACTGTATAAATAATAAATGTCTTGTTTTGTGTTTGTAGTTGTTGTAGTTTTTGCTTCATGCACCATTGTAAAATCCATAAATAAGTTTTTGTAAAAAGGCGTAGTTGTTGTAACCTGATCGAAGTGTTAAACTACATAATATTTTTGTTAAGCTTTCTATTATTTCTGGACAATATCGTTCAGATAGTAAAAAAACCAAAAAAAAAAACACCATTCAACAATCTCACGCGTTTTTTTAATTTTGTACATCTTAAAAATTTTGCGTTGGTTAATAAAACAAAATGTAGCAAAAGGCTAAGAAAAAAAATGTGTAAAGGCTTTTGACCAAGCAACACGACAAACCCATACTATATGCAGCAGAAAATGAAGAAGACGAAGACGAAGAAGCAAAAAGGAAACAACGGCATAAACATGTTTTGCTATTATTGCTGCCGCATCTGTCAATAAAATATCGATTTAACATTTGCCTTAACATCGTGTCGCACATGAAAAGCATAAAATGTCTTGTTTGTTTGTAAAGCAACGCTCTACAACATACGTTTTTTTCTTTGCTATAGTTGTTGTTGTTTTTCCTTTTTTTTAGCTTTTTTCACGCATAGAAGGAGAAAAAAATTAAATCAACTGTTTTCTTTAAACACGACATTAAAAGTGTTGCAACAATATTTTATTTATTTATTTTTTTTTACTCTTGAAATTTTAATAAATTTTCAATATATTTTATTTTTTCATAACAAAAACAACCACAATAAGAGTAACAGCAACATAATAAGCAACAACAACAACAAATGCAATCTGTCATGTATATGACGCACGACCAACAGACAGTTGTATGTAGAGTCCTCTATGTCTGCATATAAAGTTAATATTACTTAGGCCTTACTAAACACTAGATCCTTTTTTATCCTTTTGATCATGACTAAACAAAAGTAAATGATGAGATTTTTTTAACATAAACAGGAAATTGCTTTTAAAACAGAAACTTAAAACGTTAATTAAAATATTATTTTCATGGCGTTAAATGAGAGTTAAGTGTTTTTTAACCATAGTTTTTTTTGTTTTGCTTTTTTTTTTGCTGCATGTCTTTGTTACATTTTACAACGACAATATAATCATGTTTTTTACAAAAAAAGAAAAAAGATGAAATAAATTGAGAATTAAGTAAAGTAAAGTAAAAATATTATTAATGACTTATCAAGTGGGCGCTTTGCATGTTGCAATATAACAAATGAAAATGCAAAAAAGTCGAGCAAACAACCAACAACGAAAACCAATTTTTTGCTGTTGCTGTTGTATACACTTGCAGCCGTTTATTTTGTTATATGGACTCCAAACTTTAAACGAATACAAAAATCTAGACACGAAATGCTTTAAACTAAAATAAAAAATATGATTTTTTTTAACAGGTGACAAAAATGAGACCATTTTGTTGTGGCTGTTGTTGTTGTGAAAACAAAGTGAAATTCATAATAATAATAATGAAAAATATTGAACTCATTTTTTATCTATGGATGGGTATCATTTTTTTTAATAAAAAAATATGAAGCGGTTGTTGTCATTTTGTTGCGTTGCATTTCATTTAAGTGTATTGAAATTTATGCGTGCCTGGTTTGTTAGTTTATGTTGCAACAAAACGTATTTTTTAATTAAGATTACAAGTATGTTGTTGTTGTTGTTGTCGTTATTATTATTATTTTCAATCCATAAGACTTACTATACTTGGCTGTTGTTTTCATTTATATGCTGCCAATGACATTGATATCAAGCTACAGGTGTTTTTTTTCTTCTACATGAGAACGTTTAACTTTAGTTTTTTTGTAATTTTTTAAGAAAACATTTTAAAAGGGAGTTTTTCCATTCAATTTGTTTTTTTTTTGTGTTTTCTTTTATAATTTTTCTATTCAATACGAATCAAAAAAAAAGGTTTTATCGTATTAAATCACTAGATTAATTTGACATTTATTATGTTTGTTCATTTATTTATGTTGTCTTAAGATCACTAATATCTTTAAACAATATTCAATTTTTGAAATCGCCCTTTATTTTAACGATGAAACAATAAAGTATGACTTTTTGATTTGATTTTGTTTTTTAATTTTCTTTTAATAAAAAGAAAACCTATTATTAGAATTCTTTCTACCTGTTTCTGCTTCGAAAAGAGCAGCTAGTGTTTTAAACAATAAATAAAAAAGATTTTCTTAAATTTAGAAAGCAAGAATGTTTTCCTTTGTCTATTGTTGAAAATTTTTGACACAAATGATATTTTATTGAGCACATTATAGATTTAAACAATCTATAAGAATGTCTTTTCAATTAGAATCTTTTTGTAGGCTTATTATAATGTTTGGATCGTTTTAGCTGACTCGAAAATCTTCGAAAATGTATAAGTCTTTGATGTATAAGATTTGATTATCATAGTTTTAATACAAAAATTGATATAAATATTTCCAATAACTAGAACAACTAGAACACTTACCATACATTATGATTATTAAATTATATGTTTGAAAGCAAACGAATTAAAAATTGGAATTATATGCCACAACAGTTGAATAAGTTTTTGTTACCAAGTCATCTAAAAGACAAGTATTTGGCTAGATTCCATTTGTGTGTCTAAAAATTTATGATTAATGTAAATTAATTTGCTAATTCCATGCACAATATTCATTACAGTTTTTTTTTCTTTTAATACAGTTTCTTTTAAATGCCAAATGGCGACAATTTTGATTGCTTAATATTAAAGCAGTCAGCAACAAATGGCAACGGAAGTTGCTACTTATATGAACATATAAATTTGGTTCGTTTGTTTGTGTCTAGCAATGTCTGTGTGTGTGTGTGTTTAGTGGCATTTAAACTTTAAATTGAAATTACTTAATTAATAAGAAGAAATAAGAACAACAAACCAACTGTATTTATAGTAAAAATATCATTAAAGTAGTTCAAGCTAATAATAACATTATTTATCTTTTAATTTTCTCAGGGTTTACCACTACATGTACAAATCGATACATTTGAAGATCCTCGTGATGCCCAAGTCTTTCATCGAGGCTATTGTCAAATTAAAGTTTTCTGCGATAAGGTAAGTATCCAGCATTTTCTACATTCACTTTATTACTTTTTTGACATACAATAAGCTGCTGACTGTTGGTTTTAAAAACTGCTGCAATCTGCAGTTAACTTGGACATTTTTTTTAATTTTATTTTATAAATAAAATTGTGTGACAAGTGACGTAATATGAAAAAAAAAGTAGGCGTCAATCAAGTGACAAAACATTTTAACCCCAGCTTAAAAGTAAATTACAAAAAAAAAAAAAATCAAATCAAGCAACAACATGATATGTTATAATGCAATTATAGCCGCTAAAATTTAAAACATTTTTTTCTGGTTCAAAAATGTCATTTAAAAACAAAGCTTGAAAAATTTGAATTTAATATTTTGACACTTTTTTTTTAAACGAACTATTTCCAAACTTTTAACTTTAAGAGGAAAAATTTTACAAGTTTTTTTTTTTTTAAAGAATTTCGTGTTTTTCATATATTTAACTTCTATTTACTAATTTTTTCCTTTTATTCAAAAATTTTATTATTTATTTAAATTATTTCTAGAAATAACGAAATAGTTTTGGTTGCATGTGTCTTAAGTCTTTTGTTTTATAAAAACCCATTGAGTTTTTATTAATAAGAAATATGGTGTTTGTGCTAATCAAGTTCATAACTGCTGTGAAATATTTGATTTTTTTTAAAAAAAGTACCTTTTTGGATGACGAATGAAAAAAAAAAACTCTAAACCACTTGTAACCCACTTGTTTCGTTGTGCGTCATTGATTTAGTTTTTTTACGTTTTGGATTTTTTTTATAATATAATATAATAAAAATACTAGAAGTGTGTGTGTGAGAGTGTGTTGCTGTTTGTGATTATATACATTTGCTTATTGAAGCTTCAATGCTTCATTGGGTTTTTTTGGTTTTCTTTAGAAAAAAGGGGAGCTTTTTTACTGCTGCTGTTGATGATATTTGTTGTTGATATTGAGATCATTGTGGTGGCAATGCAATTCATTATAGCGTGCCATGCATAAGACCAACAACTTGTTTTAGAGTGCTTCATTTGCTGGTTGTTTACTTGGTGTGACAGACAGACATACACACAGCCCTTTTGGCTTGAACACACTTCCATAACGCATGCTGCGTAACAAAACCTTTGTACATGTGTAATCGATACAAATATACAAAAGAAAAAAACTCAAACCGATATCAGCAGCAGTATAAAACAGATTGAATATACCTTTAGCTATAGCTCTTACTAAAAGTATAAAATGATAAAATACTGATGCCAATATCCATGTATTTGTGTTTCTGTGTGTAGAGGGGACCCTTTCCCCTTTGACTTTTTATGTTACGCAAACTAAGTAATACAAGATTTTTACATTTATGAGGTATTTCTTAACTTATTTTTTGTATACTTTTTATTGTTTCTTTTCTGAAGACATCAAGTGAACTGCAAAAATGAATAAAAGACAAAAAACGTACAAGAAAAATTAAGTGTTAAAACCCTTTTACTGCTTTAATAAAAACCTATATAAGGATTCTTTCCAGGGTTACATCACAGCAACAATAACAACAACAACAATTAAGTAGTACACTTGTTGCAATAAGCAACAAAAAATGAAGAAGAAAAACATTATTATGTTTTGCTTTAGGGTTCGTTTGTAAACGACACAACAAGCAGCAAGTAAAATGATAGTGTTGTAGCAAAGAAATGTATCATTCATTCTTTAAGCTTGTGATAAGTAAGAAAAAGTCCTTGTTTTATAAAAAAAAAATTAAATGAATACTCTTAAGTAGCTATTATATTCTGGGATTCTTCATATTTTTTTTAACAACTTGAAATTAAATTTTTACAAATTTTCAGTTGTTTATACTTTTTTCTTTGTTGCAGTTTGTTATTTATTTAATTTTACTTTTTTTTCGTATGATGGTCTTCAATAATTTCCATGGCATGTATATATAATTTAAAGCTACTCAATAATCATACGGTTTGATTGTGATGCTGCTGATGTTATCAATTAAATTTTGTGTTCATATAATAGTGCACAGTGGGGCAGAATGGAAATTTTTTGGAAATAAATCTGGCATTTCTAAACGGCTGATCCGATCGGGATAAAATTCGGCATGAGCGTAGCCAAGGAGTATTCGAGTTTAAGTTTTGAAGATGAACCCCGCAGATGCCCCAGGGACGGAGCTGTGGCGGCTCAAACTAGGGTACCTACGACATGTAAAATTTTTAAACTCGTGCCATTTTTTTGTTTTTCACCCAAATACAAAGATTTTTATATTTTCTGAAAGCGCTCGACGAGATCTTGAAAAAACATGCTTGGACATACTACTTATCTCTTATAATATCCGAGTTATAGGCATTTAAAAATTTAGTGATACAAAATTTACCATACCTTGGTCCGCCTTTTTTTGAATACCGGGCGTAATTTTGGACCAAATGGACTCAATTTTTTCTTGTTAGTTAGACAATAAAATTTCCAATAATATACAGAAAATTTCAGATAAATATCATTTACAGATCCAAAAATATACGTTTTTTAATTTAAAAATTCCAAAAAAGTTAGATTTTTGCCGTTTTTTTGCCCAAAATGTGTCTTAACTCTTTTATTAATAAAATAAAATTTTCTTTAAGAACATATAACAATTTTATAGTTTTCTAAAAAGAATCTTTACGCAGAACGCTTTGGCGTAAAAAACTTGTTCTATTTTTTGAAAATGTTACCACTGCGTCCTTCCGAATATGACCTATTTTTTATCAAAATTTCAACTTTGGGCGACATGTTCTAAAATCCCAAAGCTGGGATCAGAAAACTGAAAGCAGTTTTGGAAACCTCAATATGTTTTCTATTTACTCCAAAAGTATTTTCCCAGCCCTGAAAAAAATGTGGACTCTATGGGCAAAAATGTAAAAAATCCCATTTTTGGGATTTTCATTCCTATTTTTGGGAATTGCGGGATGCCCTTTGACCTTTTCAATTTTTTTTTTGCATTTTCTTATTTGAAATGACAAATTTAACAAGCGTTGAAGATTTCATTGAGTTTTGTTCATAAATAAAGATTCTGTCATATATTACATATTTGTTAAATTTCTAAAACTAAGATTAAATCAAAATTTTAATAGGGTCGCAGATAGCTACAACAATTTAGTCCATATTTATCCCTTAATATCCTTTTTTAGTTAGATATGGAAATTCTCGACCCTTTACAAAAAATTTCAAGCCAATATCTCAATTACATTCAAAAATATGTTCATTTAAACCTGTGTCCTTTAATTTCATCTTTTTCATATTTTAGTATTAAGTATGACAGAACATACATTTGGTGTTGAATAAAATATTTGGACAATTTTTAAAAATTATTTAGTTAATTATTTTATTACAATATTGTATATAAAATAAAAAAAATTATAATTTTATTATGAGCCACGCACAACAACACCTAAATCACCCCACACAAATTACCTTTCCCGCCCACCGAAATATAAAACACAATTTAATACAATATCATCAGTTAGTATAATAGCTTTTTTTATTTGAACTGTTTATCTTAAACATAATACAATTAATTCTTACAACCTACTTATATAGTTAATTCCTAACACTACTTATTTTCTATAAAATAATCTGTCATATCGGTATACATATCCAGAAGGTAATATAAGTCCATTAAATCTTCCTTGTTTTGAGATGATAGAGTTTCATAACAAATCCATCTTTTTCGCATAGTTGAAAGAACAGGATCAGAAGATAGAAGTAAACTATTAAAAATATCTTCATTCTGTGATTGCCTGGAGCATTTTCTTGAGCTGAATAGTTGAACATGCTTAAAATCTCGATTCCTCGCTTCCTGGGCTTCTTCTGTTAACTCTCCAAGTGGAAGAATATTCGATTCAATTATTATTTGACCATGACACAATACTTTGTGTACTGTTGGTGTTAGTTCCCTCCATGGATACAGAGATACAAGTAATTTAGAAATTTCAGACGTGTATTCCCCAAATCGATTTTCATTAATTTTATGTTTACTATTCAGTGCCATTAAAATAGTGTTAACTCTTCGAAGCAACTCCTTGTCGATTCCAGTTATTTTTGAAGTAATTTCAAAATCACGAAAAAACCTTCTCGACGTATTACCGTCATTTGTACTACCGCAACTTGAAAGTGGTTTGTCGATGTTTAATCCCATCTGAACTTTAAATTCTTCTTGGATTCTGCTTTTTTCCGCAGCTCTCAGTTCTTTCAATTCTTCATTATTTTTTGTTGATTTAGTAGGATAGTTTGTTTTTTTCCTGGATCGCCTTGTATGATGGTAATATATTGTGTCCTTTTTCATGCAGAGCTTTCCTTAATATTTGGTACTTATTTCGACTGAGACCCAGTTCCAACATAAGCGCTATTGCTTCCTCTTCAGTAAAATTTGATTATGATGTTGGAGTTGGTATACTTTCCACAATTCGCTTAAGTCGTTTTGGTGATGCATTAGGAAGAATAGTTGCAATATGTACGACATCCATATGTTGGTTTTCCTTTTTCAGCATTTCGTTAAATGTATCAGCAATTTCCTCATTTGAGATTGAAAAAAGTTTTTGTGTGACCCTCTTTTTTTTTTACCTTGAACATAAGTCTTCGTATGACTTGCAAGGCGCTCCTGTTGATGTGTTGTAAGTTGAGATTTCCGTAGTAGTTTCCATCCAACTACAAAATTTTAATCGAAATTTCTTTTGATTTCCATCCACAGACTTACTTTTTACATCAAAAAGTTTTAAAAAGTTTTCAATTTTTGATATGCCTGTTTTGTCTACTTTTCTACTATATGTAGTTTTTATATAATTTGAAATGTCTTCAATTCTTTCTGGCCCTTTTGAAGATATACTCCATAAAACGGAACACAACTCTTCGTACTTTAATGTAATCTTCATTGTAGATTTATTAAATATGGTACTTAAAATCTGAGAAGTTTACTTATATACCAATTCTTGTCATTTCCGATACAGGTATTCCAAAGTAAAAAATTACGAAATGTCTA